TGCGATCTGTGAAACTGTCGCCATTTTCGAGCCCTGCTGGGGGGCCAGCACAGTGAGGGCCACGGGCGGATTCAAATTAGACCTCGCCATCCCTGGGGGGCTGCGATCTGCGAAACTGTCGCCATTTTCGAGGCCTGCTGGGGGGCCCAGCACAGTGAGGGCCACGCGCGGATTCAAATTAGACCTCGCCATCCCTGGGGGGCTGCGATCTGCGAAACTGTCGCCATTTTCGAGGCCTGCTGGGGGGCCCAGCACAGTGAGGGCCACGCGCGGATTCAAATTAGACCTCGCCATCCCTGGGGGGCTGCGATCTGCGAAACTGTCGCCATTTTCGAGGCCTGCTGGGGGGCCCAGCACAGTGAGGGCCACGCGCGGATTCAAATTAGACCTCGCCATCCCTGGGGGGCTGCGATCTGCGAAACTGTCGCCATTTTCGAGGCCTGCTGGGGGGCCCAGCACAGTGAGGGCCACGCGCGGATTCAAATTAGACCTCGCCATCCCTGGGGGGCTGCGATCTGCGAAACTGTCGCCATTTTCGAGGCCTGCTGGGGGGCCCAGCACAGTGAGGGCCACGCGCGGATTCAAATTAGACCTCGCCATCCCTGGGGGGCTGCGATCTGCGAAACTGCGCCATTTTCGAGGCCTGCTGGGGGGCCCAGCACAGTGAGGGCCACGGGCAGATTCAAATGAGACCTCGCCATCCCTGCGGGGCTGCGATCTGTGAACCTGTCGCCACTGTCGAGGCCTGCTGTGATCCCCGTTTTCGAAGTGGCTAGGAGTGCTCAGGAATTGTAAATCATCAGCTTTATCAAGCCCTTTCCCTGTAGCCGTGTCCTGCGAGTCTCCCGAATTCCGTCTGCAGACATATGTAACCCTCGCTCCGTCATCGCCCCCTTATAAAGTATCCTAAACTATTTGCGCCCCGCTTTTGCGCAGGGGTTGGGTACGTCGCCAGGGTAATTTTCCCAACCCTCCTTGGTTGGGTATTCGTTTTGAATAGAGCAGTGTGGTCGCGTCCCTTCTCCCGCCCTCCCGCCTCTTCCTGTCTTGCCCGCGGGGGGCTGCGATCTGTGAAACTGTCGCCATTTTCGAGGCCTGCTGGGGGGCCCAGCACAGTGAGGGCCACGGGCGGATTCAAATTAGACCTCGCCATCCCTGGGGGGCTGCGATCTGTGAAACTGTCGCCATTTTCGAGGCCTGCTGGGGGGCCCAGCACAGTGAGGGCCACGGGCGGATTCAAATTAGACCTCGCCATCCCTGGGGGGCTGCGATCTGCGAAACTGTCGCCATTTTCGAGGCCTGCTGGGGGGCCCAGCACAGTGAGGGCCACGCGCGGATTCAAATTAGACCTCGCCATCCCTGGGGGGCTGCGATCTGCGAAACTGTCGCCATTTTCGAGGCCTGCTGGGGGGCCCAGCACAGTGAGGGCCACGCGCGGATTCAAATTAGACCTCGCCATCCCTGGGGGGCTGCGATCTGCGAAACTGTCGCCATTTTCGAGGCCTGCTGGGGGGCCCAGCACAGTGAGGGCCACGCGCGGATTCAAATTAGACCTCGCCATCCCTGGGGGGCTGCGATCTGCGAAACTGTCGCCATTTTCGAGGCCTGCTGGGGGGCCCAGCACAGTGAGGGCCACGCGCGGATTCAAATTAGACCTCGCCATCCCTGGGGGGCTGCGATCTGCGAAACTGTCGCCATTTTCGAGGCCTGCTGGGGGGCCCAGCACAGTGAGGGCCACGCGCGGATTCAAATTAGACCTCGCCATCCCTGGGGGGCTGCGATCTGCGAAACTGTCGCCATTTCGAGGCCTGCTGGGGGGCCCAGCACAGTGAGGGCCACGGGCGGATTCAAATTAGACCTCGCCATCCCTGGGGGGCTGCGATCTGCGAAACTGTCGCCATTTTCGAGGCCTGCTGGGGGGCCCAGCACAGTGAGGGCCACGCGCGGATTCAAATTAGACCTCGCCATCCCTGGGGGGCTGCGATCTGCGAAACTGTCGCCATTTTCGAGGCCTGCTGGGGGGCCCAGCACAGTGAGGGCCACGCGCAGATTCAAATTAGACCTCGCCATCCCTGGGGGGCTGCGATCTGCGAAACTGTCGCCATTTTCGAGGCCTGCTGGGGGGCCCAGCACAGTGAGGGCCACGCGCGGATTCAAATTAGACCTCGCCATCCCTGGGGGGCTGCGATCTGCGAAACTGTCGCCATTTTCGAGGCCTGCTGGGGGGCCCAGCACAGTGAGGGCCACGCGCAGATTCAAATTAGACCTCGCCATCCCTGGGGGGCTGCGATCTGTGAACCTGTCGCCACTTTCGAGGCCTGCTGTGATCCCCGTTTTCGAAGTGGCTAGGAGTGCTCAGGAATTGTAAATCATCAGCTTTATCAAGCCCTTTTCCTGTAGCCAGTGTCCTGCGAGTCTCCCGAATTCCGTCTGCAGACATATGTAACCCTCGCTCCGTCATCGCCCCCTTATAAAGTATCCTAAACTATTTGCGCCCCGCTTTTGCGCAGGGGTTGGGTACGTCGCCAGGGTAATTTCTTTTTTTCCCAACCCTCCTGCGTTGGGTTCTCGTTTTGAATAGAGCAATGCGGTCGCGTCTCCTCCTTCTCCTCCTCCTTCCCGCCTCGTTCCTCCTTTCCTCTTCCCCCCTGCATCTCACCTTGCTCGTCGCCGCGTGTCAGCTTGCCTCCTGCCTGGTCATCCCTGTGTGGGGCTGCGATCTGCGAAACTGTCGCCACTTTCGAGGGCTGCTGGGGGGCCCAGCGGAATGGGGTCATACTCAGACCCAGACTAAACCTCGCCATCCCTAGGGGGGCTGCGATCCGTGAAACTGTCGCCACTTTCGAAGGCTGCTGGTGGGTCCAGCGGAGTGAGGCACCACGGGGATTCAGATTAGACCTCGCCATCTGTGGGGGCTGCGATCTGTGAAACTGTCGCCACTTTCGAGGCCTGCTGGTGGGTCCAGCGGAGTGAGGCACCACGGGGATTCAGATTGGACCTCGCCATCTCTGGGGTGGCTGCGATCTGTGACCTGTCGCCACTTTCGAGGGCTGCTGGTGGGTCTAGCGGAATGAGGCACCACGGGGATTCAGATTAGACCTCGCCATCTGTGGGGGCTGGGGGGCTGCGATATGTGAAACTGTCGCCACTTTTGAGGGCTGCTGGTGGGTCCAGCGGAATGAGGCACCACGGGGTTCAGATTAGACCTCGCCATCTCGGGGGGGGCTGCGATCTGTGAAACTGTCGCCACTTTCGAGGGCTGCTGGTGGGTCCAGCGGAGTGAGGCACCACGGGGATTTAGATTAGACCTCGCCGTCTCTGGGGGGGCTGCGATCTGTGAAACTGTCGCCACTTTCGAGGCCTGCTGGGGGGCCCTGCACAGTTACGCCACGGGCAGATTCAAACGAGACCTCGCCATCTCTTGGGGGCTGCGATCTGTGAAACTGTCGCCACTTTCGAGGCCTGCTGGGGGGCCCAGCGCACTGACGCCACGGGCAAATTCAAATGAGACCTCGCCATCCCCTGGAGGCTGCGATCTGTGAAACTGTCGCCACTTTCGAGGCCTGCTGGGGGGTCCTGCACAGTGACGCCACGCGCGGACCCAAATTAGACCTCGCAGTCCCTGCGGGGCTGCGATCTGTGAAACTGTCGCCGCTTTCGAGGCCTGCTGTGATCCCCGTTTTCGAAATGGCTCGGAGTGCTCAGGAATTGTAACTCATCAGCTTTATCAAGCCCTTTTCCTGTAGCCAGTGTCCTGCGAGTCTCCCGAATTCCGTCTGCAGACATATGTAACCCTCGCTCCGTCATCGCCCCCTTATAAAGTATCCTAAACTATTTGCGCCCCGCTTTTGCGCAGGGGTTGGGTACGTCGCCAAGGTAATTGGGGGGGGGGCTGTTCCGGGGCTCCCACCAGCGGGGAACATGGCTGTGGCTCCAGGTGCTCGTGCTCCCGCTGCTACCCAGGCTGCTCGCCCTCCCCCATCCCTCCAAACCTGCCAAGCCATGCACCCCGCTCAGAAAGAGCCAATGGCGCATCACACTCGAGTCCTGGGTCCCGCTGGCGCTGGCCGATGGCTTCGCGGGCCGCTGCCCATGAAAAGCTGGGTCCCGCTGGCCCTGGTTGTTGTGACGTCTGGTCGCCAACCATAGGGTCCCTGGTCTCGCGTGCCCTAGCTTTTGTGATATCTGGTCGCCAGCCATGAGGTCCCAGGTCCCTCGCAGACATGCTGTAGCTGTGACATTATTGCTTGGGTGACGGCGGCGGATACGGCAACAAAAACGTTGCCCTTGACTGCCTGCCTCTCTCTCTCTCTCTCTCTCTTTCCGCGCTCTGTCCGATGGTCGTCTGTCAACAGTATCAACACGACTCGTACTGAATGTAGCTCTTCGTAACATCTTACAGTATCTGCCATCCGACGCTACTTGCATCAATAATCATTCAGTGATCAGAATAGGACGGCGATGGAGATTATGTAGTCTTCTGCTAACCTGGCTGAACCATAATCCTCCTCTGCGCATTCATCCCGGTTTCATTCTCTGGAGGGGGGGGGAGAGAGGGAGAGAAAGAGAGAGAGAAACATGCCATGATGCCTCGCTTTCTGCCGTGGTAGTCGTAGCAAGCGGAACTATCTGGCATTTGTGGTGCTGCTGGTGACTGCGTCGGCATGTCAAGATGGCGTGGTGTTGGCGAGAAGCGCCGATTCAGGCTCAGCCGCAAAGATCGTGTCATCACTATCCTGGATTTCTGCGCTTGGGGAGGGCCTGATCCCGCGGAGGTCCCAAGGTCGTAATCTTAGGTCGGGCCTGTCCCCCTACAGGGGGATTTTGGACGACAAATAAAAAGTATTCAAAACATATGCAAAAGATGCCCAACAATACTCAAACAATAGTCCCCAAACTATTTTTTTACTATTTTTGAATATTCCGCCTGTAGAGGGACGGCCCGACTTAATCGTAATCTGCTGGCCCCACCACGTATAGTTCCTCGGTCGATTTGCCACCGTTGGACGGATTCCGATGGCAACCGTATTGTGGTGCCCTTTACGCACGGAACTTGACCCTTCATGAGTAACTCTGCCAGTGTCCGTGATGATGATATGCTGCACAATCGCAAGGGCGGTTGCTAATATATATATATATATATATATATATGGCCCTCTGCCTACAGCTGCCATTTTTCGCGTTCGTTCGAATGTCTGCCGTCATGGTACTCCGCCTCCCCTATCCGCAGAAGCTGCCTTTCCTACATAATCCACTCAACCTCCTGGCTTGTCGCTTGTTCCGGAACCTGGTAGATTTTGACCTCCTCCTCCTCAAGCCGTACCTTGCTCGCTCGATTCGTGGCATGCCAGTTGCCTTCCTCCTCGCTTTTGCCAGGCCACGGCGAGCCAAGTTGTCCATGGCCGTGTCGTTTCCCGACAACTGCCGCTGCAAGAGAATGTGCGAGAGATACTCGTCGGGATCCACCAAAGGGGGGGTGACCCTGAGGGGGGGGCATGAGTTCGATCCGTTGGTGCACCGAAATGTCGCAAACAGTTGCCCCCCGCATGCCCCACCTATTGGCAATTATCGGGAGCTGCCGGCGGCTGGGGGGCATCTGTTTTGGGCGGTTTGGTGCAGCAGACGATCAAACTCCCCCCCCCCCCGGGCCCCCCCCCCCCTCTGCTGGATCCCGAACTTGTATGTACCAACAACGCTCCAAGATTGTGGTCATGACGGGCCTGCTGCCGGAGTCGCGTGCGGTGCTGGCGACGATGGCTGCTCTGTCGTCGATGGCGACCTGCTGTGACCCTGCACTCGCTCGGCCATCAGGGTCCCTTAGCGGCGCCTGGTCGGTCTGATTACCAAACACGCACGCGGCGTCTGCGACGAGAGACCATGAAAACGGTTGAGCGCCAAAGCGATTTGAAACACCCACGATTTCGGAGACGGCCGCGGGCCGCAGCCAGTGACAGGTGCTGCAATGAGGAGATGGAGTCAGAGGAGGCAGAGGCCGTCAGGACCTCGTCGTCGTCGTCGTCGTCGTCGTGGCTGTGGTCGTGGTCGTGGGAGGGACGTGGTCGTGGTCTTGGTTGTCGTCGTGATCGTGGTCGTGGTCGTGGTCGTGGTCGTCGTCGTGGTCGTGGTCGTCGTCGTCGTCCTCCGCCTCGCCTCCTGCTGACGCTGGTGGCAGGCATCCGACCAGGAATGCTGCCATCCCGCCTCCTCCTCCTCCTCCTCCTCCTCCTCCTCGTCCTCGACCCGGCCTCGCCCTCGACCCGGGGCCGAGGCCGAGGAGAAGGAGCAGGGGGGAGGACGAGGAGGGAGGAATGGGGAGGACGAGGACGAGGACGAGGAGGGAGGACGAGGAGGGAGGACGAGGGGGGAGGACGAGGAGGGAGGACGAGGACCGAGGGGAGACGGAGGACGAGGAGGGAGGAGTGGGGACCGACTCCGGGGAGCCCTCCACCGCCTTCCGGGGCCGAGGCCGAGGCCGAGGCCGGCGCGGGCCCTGTGCGGCTCGCCGGTCCGGGCTTCTCTTTCTTGGCCCTGTGGTCGGAGTAAGTATCCTTCACGGCCTCCCCTCGAGGAGGAGGAGGAGGAGGAGGAGGAGGAGGAGGAGGAGGAGGAGGAGGAGGAGGAGGAGGAGGAGGAGGAATAAATACTCGAGAAGGGGAGACTCAAGAGGGAGGAGGAGAAGAGGGGGAGGAGGAGGAGGCGGAGGAAGGATACTCGAGAAGGGAGAGGACTCAAGAAGGGAGGAGGAGGAGGGGAAAAAGGAGGAAGAGGAGGAGGAAGGTGAGGGGGGAGGAGGAGGAGGAGGAGGAGGAGGAGGAGGAGGAGGAGGAGGAGGAGGAGGAGGAGGAGGAGGAGGAGGAGGAGGGGCGCCAAGCACGGTGCATGCATTGGTGGTTAGAGCGTTTTTGTGTGTTTTGTTTTTCTCTCGAACGAAGCAGCGAACGATAGCTGTTTGTAATCCGCCACGAAGTATCTACTGTATTCGACTCATACAGAAAACTTCTCCGTGCCACTCAACTGAATCCTTTAGTAATCCGCCACAGAAGGGAATACCTCTGTAGTGCGCCAATTCCAACGACGGCGGAAACTCGAGTTCATATTGCAAATGAATTCCTCCGCGGCGGAGTGCAAACGGATTCCCGCTGTGGCGGAATGCCAAAGGATTTCCTTTGTGGCAGAATGCAGACGCATTCCTCTTATGGCGAAATGCAAGGATCATTCTTCTGAGGTGGACTGCAAATGCATTTGTTTTGTGGCAGATTACAGAATTTATCCCTTTGTGGCCGAAGAAAACAGGGTTTCCTTTCTGGCAGACTACAAACGGATTCCCTTCGTGGCAGAACGCTGAAAGATCCCTTGCGTGGTGGAATATTGAGGGATTCCTGTTGGTGGCAGAACACGAAGGGAAGGGGGCCTTTGTGTGGCAGAATGCAAGAGGAATCCATCTGTGGTCGATTACCAACGGATTCTTTATGTGGCGGAATGCAAAGGGAATCCTTGTGTGGCCGAGTGCGAAAGGGTTCCCTTTGTGGTGGAAAAAGGGCTCCCTTTGTGGCAGAATGCGCAAGGAGTCCTTTCTGTGGCGAGATACCGAAGGACTCCTCTTGTGTTACATTTTTTTTTTTTTTTTTTTTTTTTTTTTTTTTTTTTTTTTTTTTTTTTTTTTTTTTTTTTTTTTTTTTTTTTTTTTTTTCTGTGGCTGGCGGAATGCAAAAAGGATTCATTGTAAGGCAAAATACAACGGGATTCCTTCTGTGAGCGAAAAGTGCTGACAACCACCCACAAAAACAAAAACACAACAACAACCCCAAACGAAACAAACAAAACCATGATTGCGAGCAAATCTCCCTGGGCCATCGCCGCAGTTCTGCCGACTTTGTAGTTTTTGTTGATTCTGCTTTCTTGTCAGAGCTTGTCGCTAACAGAAAAGGTCCTTGTATTCCGCCACAACAAGGCTCCCTTCCATTCAGCCAAAAAATCCTTGTATTCTGCCACAAAAGGATTCCTTTTGTATCCGGCCACAAAGAGAATCTTCTGTATTCTGCCGCAAAAGGAATCATGTTGCATTCCGCCGCAAAAAAATATTACAAAAGTATTCCGTTTGTGGTGGGGTACTAGAAGGACTCAACTGAATAGCATGGAATGGGTTTATTTTTGAGTGGAATGCACATCGATTCCTTGTGTGGGGTTATCTCTTTTTGAACAAGAGCTCAAGCCGCCGAGGCCAGCATCGCATCGTGCCTGGTGCGGAAGGAGGAGGAAGCGGAGGAGGAGGAGGAGGACGAGGAGGGAGGAGGGAGGCGGACCCGAGAAGGGAGAGGACTCGAGAAGGGGAGGAGGAGGAGGAGGAGGAGGAGGAGGAGGAGGAGGAGGAGGAGGAGGAGGAGGAGGAGGAGGAGGAGGAGGAGGAGGAAGATGAGGAGGGAAGAGAACTCGAGAAGGGAGAGGAACCGCAAGGGGTACGAGGGATGCGCCGCCTCCTCTCGAGCAGGAGGATGACGGGCACAGCCCGGCGCCGCTTTTAGCCCACGACGGACCCATCGGCTTGCCACCCTTTCGTCGTGACGAAGATGCCGGTGAAAAACGCACCCGTCGGTCGGAAGAAGTTGGTCGAAAGATGAAGCAGGAAAGCGTTGGAAGTAGATTGGGCTTCCGCACGCCCCCCCTGGAGAGGAAAGACAAGGTGGAACTACTCGATCATTGAAGTAGGAAGGCGCCTACAGTATATTGGGATTCGAAAACCCCAAAGTACCTGCTTTCAACGACCGACGGGTAACGACGGACGGTTTTTGCAAGTGTTTGGCCTTTGGGTGCTCTCGTTCAAGGACCGCCAGGAATCTACTCATAATGAGAGAAGCCGACCCCGGGGACAAGGTCCAGACCTTGGAGGGTCCACGCTATGAAGGAAGTCACGCCAGAGCTCTGGGTATTCGCCCTCCATGCCTCAAGGAATCATGGACGAGTCGACGGAGTAAGTGGGCAGGACGGGTGGTGGGGGAGGAGGATGGATGGGGGGAAGAGGAGGGAGGAGGAAGTGGGGGGGATGTGACCGTATGGAGCTGGGGCAACAGCAGCTGGTCAGAGCCATTACGAACCTGGGGCATTTCAGGCGTGCGTTCCAGAACAACTCGGTGTGACATTCGTACCAAGGGACGCTGCATGATCCAGTCGCAGAACAAAGCTGGTGGGAACGAACTCATGCCCAATCCATAGCTAATCGGTCGCAAGCAGTTCGCTGCTGGCTTGTTCCCAGCCCCGCTGCGCATACCACGCAGTTGACAAATTCAGGCAATCAACCTCACCTGCTCCACGATGTCACTCCTCCCTCTGACCCGCCCACGGTCCACTACGGTACCCCACCCCACCTTGTCCAAGAAATTGGCGCACGGATCTTTTGGCACTGAATACATTGGGAGATGGTGCTCAGTGGGCTCCCTGTTGATGGCATAGGTGGTGGGCCCCACCTGGGAAGAAATCCGCATAAACTGCAAATCGAGCGGACACGGAAAATACAGGTGGCAAAAGCATGCAGTACGGGATAGACGATGGTGAGGATGAGGAGAAACGCGGCGACCAGTAAGGGGCATAGCATGAATGAAGGAGGAAGCTGGTAAGCACTGCTGAAGGCGCACAAGCAAGCTTGGAGCCCAGAACAAAGAAACGGCGACCAGCCTGAACTTCAACTCAATACGTGTAAGTAATTCCCCAGATGGGTCAACCACGCAGATCTACGGGGATAGAAGAAGTGGCCATTTCCAGGACATCTGGCATTGCACTTTGCAGCCAAATTTCCGTTACCGCGTCTTGAGCGCAGAATGGAACTCCCTAAACTCTTGTACAAATGTTGCAAGGCTGGACCCCCGATGTCACGGAAATTCTGAGTGCCCAAGGGATGTGCCATATGAGCCTCCTGGGCCCACTATTCTAACGTTGTCCAGCCCTCCTGCGTGTCGAGTCCTCGTTTTGATTCCGCAGCGCCCCGCGTATCCTTACTCCTCCCGCCATCCCCTCCCTCTCCTCCTCTCCCTCCCTCTGTCGACTCTCCTTGCCGCTGCCCTCCGCATGCCCATGTCAGCACACCCATGACATGGATCGTGCTCCCGCAGGGGACTCCACCCACGGCCCCCATGGGCAAGTTCGCATGCGCCCCCGCAGCCAATTTCGGCACACTACTCGCGCGGTCCCCCCCACACCTTTCGGCACACCCCTCACGCACAGGGAGCTCCACTTACGGCCCCACTGGGCAAGCTCGCATGGTGTTCCCCAGCCCGCCTCGGCACACCCCTCACGCGGATCGTGCCCCATAGGGAACTCCATGTAAGGCCCCGGTGGGCAAGCTCGCATGCGCCCCCCCCGCCCATTTGAGGACCCCTCACGCGGAGCGTGCCCGAAAGGGAGCTCCAATTACAGCCCAGCGAACGAGTCCGCACGTGCCCCCCCCGCCCATTTCGGCACACTCTTCACGCGGATCGTGCTCCCAGCTGCGCTTGCATCGCCAGTGGGCGAGTTCGCATACGGCCTCCTGCGCAAATTTCGGCACACCCTCGCGCGGATCGTACCCTACAAGGGGCTCCACTTATGACTCCATTGGGCAAGCTCGCCTGCGCCTCCCCACCCATGTCGGCACTCCTCTCACGCGGGTCGTGCTTCCGTCAGGAGCTGCACCTACGGCCCGAGTGGGCAAAGTCGCACGCGCCCCCGCAGCGAATTTCGGCACACCCCTCACGCTGACCGTGCTCCCGCAGGGAGCCCCACTCACGGCCCCTGTGGGCAAGTTCGCATGCGGTCTCCCCGCTCATTCCGGCACGCCCCTCACGTGGATCGTACCCCACGAGGGACTTCTACCTGCGCCCCCAGTGGGCAAGCTCACGTGCGGTTCCTTCGCCCATTTCGACACGCCCATGACGCTGATCGTGCCCTAATTGGAGCTCCACTTGCAGCCCCAGTGAGCAAGTTTGCAGGCGGTCCCCCTGCCTATCTCAGCACAACATGGGTCGTGCTCCCGCAGGGAGCACCATTTACGTCGCCAGTGGGCAAGGTCTCATGCGGCCACCCCGTACATTTCGTTACACCCCTCTCGCGGGTCGTGCCCCGCAGGGAGCTCGCCTTATGGCCTCGATGGGCAAGTTTGCGTGCAAGACCCCCGCCCATTTCGACTCCCCCCTCAACCGTCCATCACCATCGCTGATCCTCTTCCTCCATATCGTCTCTCCGCTCCTCCTCCTCCTCCTCCTCCTCCTCCTCCTCCTCCTCCTCCTCCTCCTCCTCTTGCCTCCTCATCCCTAATCTCCTCCTCCTCCTCCTCTTCCTCCTCACCTCCTCCTCCTCCTCCTCCTCCTCCTCTTTGTCCTCCTTCTCCTCCTCCTCTTGCCCTGCCTCGTCCCTCTACTTGTCATGCCCCCCTCCACCATCTCCTCCTTCTCCTCCTCCTCCTCCTCCTCCTCCTCCTCCTCCGCGAGCGGCTGCGATCTGCGGTCCTCGTTCCGTGCGCACTAGCAGAGGGGCCACACTTGGGTTCTCGTGCTCCCTCGCGGCCATTCTCTGAAACCTGGGGGGAGCCCCCGCACTCTGACTTGTGCGGGGGGGCTAACAGGCTTCTTTGAACTTGCGGGAGGCCCGAACTCTCCAGCACCCACCCCTCCGACACCACGAGGACCCCCCCGACATAAACCAAGGTGGGGTCGGTGGCCGGGGTGGATGCTCAAGCCTCCTGTTGCACTACTGCGCCCCCTCCCGCTGGACGTGAAACTCTTGATTGATCTGCTGGCGTTGAGACATCACGGACACGGCTGCTACTACTGGCCTGCGTGTTGCAGGCTTGGGGGACGGGGAGGGGGGGGGGGCGGTCTGGCAATTACAATCCTGGCGCAACCACCTCGCGGCTCGACATGTCCGAGTCCGCTTCTGGCACCTGCTGCAGCGCGCAAATTCGCCTTCGAGAGTTGGCCAGTGGGAAGTGCCTCCAAGAAGGTAGTCAAGCGCTGATTCAGCACGGGTTCGCCTCTGCTTTCTCTTTTTGGACTCGGTGGACTCGGCGGCCTTTTTGCTGGACTGGGTAGTGGGTCCACCACAACATCTGAATGGCAGCCAGCCGTTTTTTTTAATCTGCACGGCAAGCACATCGCGCGCCTCGGCCCATGAGGTCAGGCCAGGGGGAACGGCGGCTCGGGCGGCAGCTTCTTCAGCTAACTCGTCCGCTCTCTCACTTGCCAGGACGGCCCACGCTGGATATCGGGAGCGTCCAAGAGGGGGGTGTCCAAGAGGGGGGGGTGCAAATCATGACCGGCGGTATGTGCGCGGCCCAGCGGGGGGGCCAGGGACGCAATGAAACAAGAAGAGGCGCCATAAAATCTGGGGAAATACCATAGCCCCCGCCATGATATCCCCCCCCCCTAGTCGTCACCCCCCTCTTCGCCGCCCCCGAGGATACTTCGCCCGTTCCTCGGGGCGTGGTGAACTGTGATTCGTCGACGTCGTCGGTGGGCTGGCCAGGCCTGCGACCGAGGACCGACCAGTCGTCCTGAGGGGCCCTGGGACACACCAATAAATAGACCCAAATAACCTGGTTCCCAATATGTTCCTTTTTTTTTTTTTTGTCTTCCCCCCCACTTTCCATATGTTCCTATATTTTCCGGGGAATCGACGATCAATTGTGTCTGCGTGTTTTCTCCTCCCTCCTGTAGTCCTGCCATAACCATACCCTGCGACCGGACGGCTGCCTCCTGCGGGGCCCCTTCCTGTGGCCCCTGACCAGATGCAGGGAGCCTGTTACTATCTAGCTAGGTTTCCATGGGTGTGCCTGTGGAGCTCTAGGGTACTTCTGAGCTCGGCGCTACTGTTCTCAATCTGGAGCCCGACGACGTTGCCTTGCAAGGTCCTCAGAAGGCGCAGCGAATCCGACCATGCCCCGGCCCCCCCCGCCCCAGTCGCCACAGGCGGGGCTTCTTGGATTTGTAGCCCCTGAGCCATCCACCGAGCTGAGCCGCCAGACACCGCTGGGCTCAGGGGGCCTGGGAATGCTTCAGTCCCTCGTAGGACCTGGCCATCGCTCGGACGTCCATTCCCTGTGTTTTTGCTCGCTATCGTGCGTGGTTTTTTCGCCAAATGATCAAGGATGCTCCTCGATGGTCCCCGTCGAAGGAGACATGCACACGTCCGAGCGATGCCAAGGGACGGGTCGCTTGGGGCTTGGGGGTGGTCTCCTCTCCTGCTTCCAGGGCGAGCTCAGCTGGGGGGGCCGGTCCTCGGAGCCAGAGACAGCTGGGTTGGTCACCGCCTGTGGCCAGATTCATGAGGTCCTGGGCCTCTTGGATACGACGGTGTTTCGCCTGGAGGAGGAGGAGGAGGAGGAGGAGGAGGAGGAGGAGGAGGAGGAGGAGGAGGAGGAGGAGGAGGAGGAGGAGGAGGAGGAGGAGGATGGAGGAGGAGGAGGATAGAGAAGGAGGAAGAAGGAGGAGGACGAGGAGGAGGAGAAGGCTGGAATAGGACAGGACAGGGCGGCGCCAAGAAGGATCGAGTCCCAGGGAGGGAGGGCCTGGCCCGCGGAGCAGAGCAGAATTTGCCAGGGGGTGGGTGACCATCGCAATGGTGCTCGCCGCACAGCAGGCAGTCGCTGTTCTCCTGGGAGCCACGCTCGGGGCGTGGCGACGGGGAGCGCCTCGAGGCCTGGAAGCGCTCTCTGCGCGCGCCCGCGGACCAGAAGATGTTGGCCGGGTTCGCCGCGGCCGCTCGGCGCTGGAGAAGGTGTGCGCTTTGCGACGGCACTCGGGCCACGGGCGTGGAGGCTGCCCGTGACCGCGTGGCGCAGGCGGGCCACCTGGGAAAGCCCAGTGGCAACGCGTGCCCCGCGAGCGCAGGCCGCCCGCGGGGGCCGTGCATTTCGCGGGGGATCGGCGCCCGCGCCAGCGTTGCCGGCGGAAGTCTTGCGCCGTCCGAGGGGTCAAGGTTGCGAGTGGCACCTGGGCAGACGTGGAGATCCCGTTGCCGAAGATCGTGTGCGTTGTCTTCCTCTCATGCGGCGCTCGGACGGCGCGCATGAGCGCCGATGACGTGGCGCTCGCCGTGAGGGTGGGCCACGGACGCTGCGACGCGGTGATGGGGAGCTTGTGCGACAACACCGCTGACGCATCCATCGACGAGCAGGTCAATGCGAGACCGACGCCGCAACGGTCCGCGTCGCCAAGCTTAAGAAAGGCAAACTGATGCACGCGCGCGCTCTCGGCGTGTGCAAGCGGGGCGCCCGCGCGCAGACCGTCGCGTGCATGCTGCCCCCGTTCTACTCGGTCCCGAGCGGGCCCGCGCGACCCGAGTCCAAGCCCAGGACGAAGCCTCTTATCTCGTGCCGCGCGGGCAGCGACCCCCCTCATCCGGCGCGCGGACGGCGCCGGGTGCTATCGGCGCCCTGACGACAATGCCCGCGTGAAGCACTCCAAGCGCCAGTGGGTGGCCGTGCATGACTTGGCGCTCGAGGGTGGTGACGTGCTGCGCTGTCGCGGCAATGCCCGGCTTCGGGGCGGCCAGTGGGCCCGCGAGAGAGGCCGCGCCCCGGCGGCGATGAACGCGTGCGCGGCGGAGGCCCAGGAGAACCTCCACGAGCGAGTGCGCCGCTGGGCATGGAGGCGCAGGCGCGCCAACTGCCCCGACGCGTTCTCGGAGCTGGCCTCGGCAGTGCGCGTGGCCCAGGAGCGCGGCTGCATGTGGTGGATGGAGCTGTATGCTGCGCTCCTCTCTGATGGTCGAGCTCGGCCCTGACGGGTGCGCAGTCTTTGCCGTCCCGCCTCCAGGGCCCCTCATTTCATAACCGGCGGTGGCAGTGGGGCGCGCGCCGCAGCGAAGCGCCACGTGGCGTCGCATGGGCACGCGCGCGTGGCGCGCACGTATTGCTCACGAGTTGCTGGGAGAGCTCTGCGCACATAGAAGTGCGCGTTATGGGCGTGGAGGAGGGGGGAAGGGGGAAAGGAGGTCTCCCCCTCTCTCTCTCTCTCTCCCTCCATCTCTCTCTCTCTCTCTCTCCCTCTCCCTCTCCCTCTCCCTCTCCCTCTCCCTCTCTCTCTCTCTCTCCTCTCTCCTATCTCTCTCTGTCTCTGTCTCTCTCTCTCTCTCTCTCTCTCTCTCTCTATCTTTTATGATTGTTTTTTGTTGCTTCTCTCTTCTCTCTCTCTCTCTCTGTCTCCTCTCTCTCTTTTTTTTTTTTTTTTTTTGTTTTTTGTTTTTTTTTTCTCTCTCTCTCTCTCTCTCTCTCTCTCCATATCTCTCGCCAAACTCGCAGCTTCTTGCCCCCGGCGCGCCCGGGAGGCGTGCCCCGCGCGGGGGCCCCATAACCTTTTCAACCACGAACCTGTCCGCCTCCTCGGGGGTGCCTTCGGCCTCCGCCTCTCTGGTCGAGGCGCGGGCGGCTCCGCCGCGCGCGTTGGGCGCTGGCCTCGAGCCCGTCGGCGGAGCCCATGCTGCGCGGCGCCCAGCGCGGCGCAGCTGTTATACGGCGGAGCCTGCTGCTCGAACTCTTCGGGCCAATCGCGGGCTTCGATGCAGTGAAATGCCATCCAGACCTCCTGCAGTCCGCCCCCCTGGGTCGGGGTCCCGGGCGAGGCTGGGGGTGTCTTTCTCGGGGGCCCTCTTGATCCTCCAAAGCTCGGCCCTCCGAGGTCCCGACAGGTTGGACTCCCGGGCTTTTCACGCGCGGTCTCGTTCTCGATCTCGCTGCTGGATGTGCTCCGCCGCCTGCTCTCTGGACCTCCTGGCTGCTGTGGTGGGCTGGCTGGGAAGGCTTCTCGGATTTCAACTTGAAAAGGTTGGGCTCGGCTGTGCCTTTGCTGATCTGGCGGTGCTGGGCGCCGCCGCTCCAAGGCCTGAGACAGCGCTGCGAACTGGTGGGTCAGCTCGAAGCCCCAGTGGTCCTCTGCTACTGGATGCTGTGCCTGAGATTCGGGGGACCGCTGCAAGGCCTCTATGTAGAGCTCCTCCCAAAGGCCTCGGGGCTGCTCCAGGATTGGTGGTGATGGGGGTCTCCTTGGGGTGCGTGCTGGTCTTGCTGAAGACCTTGGCCTGGAATTCCCCTCGCAACCCGAGATGCGTTCGCCGTGGAGTTGTTTCGTCAACTGCGACCTTCAAGAATTTCTGGAATTTTGACGGCGCGATGAATTAGTCGATGGCCCTCCCGTTGCACGTAGATCAGACCTGAGGCTGGACAATGACCCCGTCTATGCCCTTGACCCAGACGGACCATTCCGTGAGCTCTTCCCCCCGTCATGTTCCAATCCCCCCCGATGATGAACGGAAGCTTGTGCGCGCGCACAAAGGTGGCGATCTCGGAGCTACGCTTGAGGTTATAGTCATTGTAGCCGACGTCGCCCTGGAAGTAGGCTGAGACGATCAGCATGCTTTGGCTGTGGAGCCGTAGCAGGCAGGCTGTCCAGCCTGTGCTCAATGGAGGGAGGCCTCTCTCCCTTTTCTGCCGAGGACGCGTGCGCGGGAGAAGAGCTGGCGCTGCACAACAACTTCGACGCCCCCGTGCGTACCCGTCCTCGATGTCTGGGTCGTGGGGCAAAGAGAAGGGCGATTTCCTTCTCTACGCATGAACTCATGAACCAATCGCATTCTCGGTGGTGGCACGTGCATCTCCCCAAACATGACAATGTGCGGCTTCTGGAAATCATTGGTATGGACGTAGTCCCGAGCACGTCTGTGCCAACGCGTGATGCTGGCGAGGTATAGGTTAAACCTGTCGATCTGCCCGCGGGAACTGCTGGCGGACGGATCGCTCGCTCCGACATCGAAGGGGGTGGGCTAACCTGGCGAAGATGATATCGCGTGTCGTGCATGCCCCGTGGCACTGACAACCGGTCGGCCCTGCTGGTCAACATCGCCCTGCACGCTGGAGCTGGCCGAATTGAGTAGACTAACGACCTGGCCGTTAGATTCTAGATCGAGGGAAGGATATCGCCCTGGCCGGGCTGCGATGGTGAAGCTGGCAGCGCTGCTGAGGCTGCTGCATCTATGGTCTTCTCGGGGAGCCTGGCTTGTTACAAAAAGAAACAACGCCATAAGCATAAACTTTTTGGCGCTCCGCGCGGCGTTCTCGGATCTGCGTTGGACCGCCCTCCCTGGCGCGCGGGGCGCGCCAGGGGCGGCGCTGGGGGCGCCGCCGGGAGGGCCCAGCGCGGATCCAAGAAATCCGCGCGGAGCGCCTACAGCTTATGTTCAGGGCGCTTTTTCTTCTTCGACCTGCGGCCCCGCCCGCGTGGAGGTCAGATCACTTCCTCCCCTCCTGCTCGGCAGCCCCCCCCGTTGTTCGGGAGCGGCCACGAGGGGGGTGTCCAAGAGGGGGGGTGCAAATCATGACCGGCGGCATGTGCGCGGCCCAGCGGGGGGGCCAGGGACGTCATGAAGTAAGAAGGGGCGCCATGAAATCCGGGGAGATATCATGGCCCCCGCCATGATATCCACCCACCCCTAGTCATCACCCCCCTCTTTGCCGCCCCCGACCCACCGCGCGCGCCGAGCCTTCCCCCGCAGGAGGAGGAGGAGGAGGAGGAGGAGGAGGAGGAGGAGGAGGGAGGAGGAGGAGGAGGAGGAGGAGGAGGATGAGGAGGGGGAGGATGAGAGAGGAGGGAGGAGGAGGAGGAGGAGCTGCCCCCGCTGCGGCTGCGCCCCTTGCCCGGCGACAGCAACCGCGCCCTACCAGCTCGCTGACCTGACCCCGCCCCAGCCGCCGCGGTCGGCAGACCGGCATTTCCCCCCCCTCCGCCGACAGCCTCGGCCGCCGGGGCGCGCCGCCGCGCTGGGGGGGCCGCGGCCAGCTCCAGCTGCTGGAGGCAGCGCCTGCGCCTGCTCTTCAGGCGGGCCTGTCCCTCTACAGGGGGGATATCCAATGCAAGACTAGTCAAAAAATAGCCTGGGGACTATTTTTGGAGCATTGTTGTATGGCCATTGTGGAATATCTTTGGGGCACTGCTTATTTTTCCCGCAACTCCTCCTCGATTCGGTGGAGCTCGTCCTCGAGTTCCTGGGCGCGCTTCTCGTACTGGCGGACGCGCTGGAGGGCGGTGACGGCGGCGGCTGCTGCGGGCGGCTGCCCTGGGGCCACCAGCGCTGCGGCTGAGTCGACCGCACCTCCGAGCTGGTCCTTTTGCTCCTTAGAGAGGACCCCGAGGATCGCACCGAGGATGGTTCGCATGTCTGGATCGGGAGCCGCTGCACCTCCCGCTCCTCCTGGGGACCGCCGCGGTGGCTGTCACGTTCGCCGCCATGGAATTTGAAAAGCTGCCCGCACTTGCACCAGAGCTTCTTCTTGGCCTTGGGCGCATACTGCCATGAACCACAGCTCCCGCACACCACATATGGGCGCTGCCTGGGCTGACGCTGGTCCTGGTTCCAGTTGTTGTTCTTGTTATTCCCCCAGCACATGGCGCCTGGGATCTGCTGGTGCTATGGGCCCGTTCTCGAGGACGGGCTGGCGGGAGGAGCGGGCCTGAAAGGCGCAGTCCTGGGCCACGTTCGAAAGGAAAATGGCTTGAGCCTCCTCCTCCTCCTCCTCCTCCTCCTCCTGCTCGCCGAGAGGGGTGGGCGGCCACGTTGGAGGACAGCTTGTCCTTGCTATTGCCGAGCCTGCTGGTCGAGTGGTTCATCTGCCTCTTCCAATCGAGTATGCCTGGCTGTGAGTGGTGAGGGGGGGAGGTCGCGGAGGGAGGGGGGGAGGGGGGAGGAGTTGTTTGGTCCCTTCTCAACCGCAGCGCGCACACACATGGTCTTTGTGCCAATCAGGAGAGGGAAAGTTTTCTTTTTGTAGCGGGCTGCTGACACCCGTACTCCAGAAGCAACAGCGTGCAGGGCCTGGCCGCCAGGACAGACACGCTGACTCAGCATCCGCCCGGCCCGCCAAAGTCTTATCAGGTGGCAAACATGCACATGGCCTCCGAAGAACCTCCAGCTGGGATTTCCTGGTGGCGTGTGGGTCATGGACTGTCACTGAGCAGGGCTCCCGCAACAAGGTCGGACGAGCTTCTTGCCCAGCAGCCGAGGCCCCGCACAACAACACATATACTTTGCTTTGTCAAACGTAGGACCCGTGCACCGCCTTGCCAGCAATCCAAGAGGTGACTCTGGTCAGCAGCGGAGCGAGCCCAAAAGAGCGTCAGAGACTCTCGTTCTTTTCGGTGAGAATGTGAAAGGCTCTCAAAACCCAACGAAGCTCACCCGACGACATCACCTCCCTCCACGGGTGAACCGCGTCGTCCCCTCCCTCGGCAGGGCAAGCTCTGCAGAGACGGGCGCGCAGGGATGCAGCAGACTTGCTGCCCTCGCTTCGGCACAGGGCGCAGGTCCAACGACCATCAGGTAGGCTCCAGGAGACGGAGCTGTTCCTGACGTCGGCTTCTATCCTTCTATCCAGCGCCGGCGACGAATAACTTCGTCCTAGGGAGGCTTGGCAATGCGACGGTCAGGCTTCGCTCGGAGCGAAGCGCACTCCAGAACAATGGCAGCAATGCGCTCCAATATCGTGAACGCCTGGGACCCTGGTTCGTCATGGTCCCGAACGATGTCAGGAGGGACCTGGGTTGGAGGAAGTGGGGAGTGGGGAGTAGGGACGAGGCGGTGAGAGGGTGGGTGAACAGGGGGGGGGGGGGGGCATGGGAGAGAAGGGCACGGGAGAGATGGGGCGGGAGGGCATGCGAAGGGAGGGGAGCAAGGTCCTCCTCCTTTCCTCCTCCGTCCCCGCTCCCGTCTGCTTCTCCTCCTAGTTCGCCCTCTCCCTCCCCTCCCCCTCCCCACCTCCTGCTCGCCCTCCTCCTCCTCCTCCTCCTCCTCGTGCTCCTCCTAGTCCTGCTGCTGCTGCTGCTGCTGCTGCTGCTGCTGCTGCTCTCTCTCTCTCTCTCTCTCTCTTTCTCCGTTCCTTTCTCCTCCTATCTCCCTCCCTTCCTGCCTCCCTCCCTCCCCTCCTCCCCTCCCCTCCCCTGCATCCCCTCCCCTCCCCTCTCCTCCCCTCCGCCCACCTCTCCTTCCTT